TGTTACATTCACTTCAGTAGTGCTATTAGCATGGTAAAACCAATCAAGACTATGGCTGTGAACATAAACAGTTTCATAGCTTCTTGGTTTGCTTCAACTCGTTCCAATTTATTTATAATTTGATTGAGTTTGTCAACATCATAATCATAGCCTCTGTCATCTTCATTCTTCATATGACTAGCTTTACTTTTCCTTTGGAAATCTGATGCATTCCCAGTCGAAGCCGGTCCCCACCCAAAGAACTCGCACATCTTATTTGGACACTTGAAATACAGCCTCCCTAGATTTTTCTCTGATTCTGATATGAATACTGCAGCTTTTTTTCCATAATTGCATCTCTGATTTTGAAAATATCCAGCATCAATGTTTGAACCCATTGACATTGACATGATCCTAGTAAGAGCATTTTCCACAATTACAATCAGTCCATTAAGACAACATTCAAACAAAGCTGTAAAATAAAGCACTAATCAATGATATAATAACCATTTGTCTAATAAACATTGTCATGTTCATGTTCATGTTAATCCTAGTCATATACATAGTTCATGTTCATTCTTAGATCATATACATAGTTCTTGTTCAAACCAGTAAAATAGCAAACTGTTGTTTACATGCATTGCCATTATTCATGTTTTGTTTACAAAAGCTTCCTCCATACTTAGATTGCCATTCCTTTTAGCAGCACAGTATGGGATTCATGAAATTGTCAAAGAAATTTTGGACTCATTTCCCGATGCAATTACGTTCGTAGATGAAGAAAACCACACTGCATTCCATCTCGCAGTTATGTACCGTCATGAAAAAGTTTTCAAGGTCATGCATCAGCGAAGTGGGCAATATAAATTCTTATTATCTTTGTTACCAGACAATGATGGAAATAATATGCTCCATTTGGTTGGATATAAGGCTCGCCAACAACGCCTCGATTTCTCTTCTGGGGCAGTTCTACAAATGCAGCGTGAATTACAATGGTTTAAGGTAATAAATCTCTTTCAAAAATCCACCTAGGAAGTACCATATTTCTTCATTTTTCCAAAGTTTGCTTTTAGTTAATTGGGTCAAACATAAATACAGGCACAAGAATAGTACCCACCACCACCTACCATCCTTCACCTAGCAGTTTTTTTTTTTTTTAATTTAAAAATTAGTTTTGTAAAAAATTTATTAAAAAAATAATAACAAATTTTTTTTTAAAAAAAAACACTCATTATTTTCATATGACTTCCTTTTTTTTTTAGAGGAAATAATTTTTTGAAAATTCAATATTTTATGTTTTGGTATTTATTTTTTTTCAAACTTTTTTTTTTTATATTTTTTATGTAAAAGATTTTAAAAAATAAGTTTTGAAAACTCAACCAAACAAATATAATTTCCAACTAAAGTTCTTTCTAATTTGGAATAACTTATTATAAAAATATTGAAAGATACCGTACATAAAATTCAAAATAAAAAACAAAATAGAAGATAAATGGTGGATAATTGAATAACCATTTATCGGAAAAGTTTGTTGGATTTTAATATTACAATTTTAGTTTTTATTTATATATTTATAAATAATTTTTATCTTTTAACATTACACTATAATAGTTAAAAAGCTTACCATCAATTTCATACCTCAAGAATGAGGTATTTTTGTCTACATAAAAGAAGGGCTCAGCTATGGACTAGATTGTTGGACCCGTGGGGCCCACCATGGATTTTGTTTCAATGATTCAAACCGTGCAATGTGTAGAGCTCGTCGAGTAATTTATTCTTGTAAAAAATCACATTGATCGGATGTCAATAGCTTCTTGATTGGATCAGATTTTTGTAAACAATTTATTTTGAAAATTATATTTACCATTGACAAAAATCTGATCCGATCAAGTACTCAACGAATTTTACATATTGAACGATTCGGATCATCAAAACGGGACCTATGGTGGACCCCCACGGGCCCAACAGCACGCTCCAATCCGATCACGAACTGGAGAGAAGTCAGGTTCTCAAAGAAAATATGAAATTTATTAACATTTTAGAAAACATTAAATGTATTTATACTTTTGTTCAACATTCCCCATGCTAGTGGAAGTAGGTAAAGTTAATTATTACTTTTGCAATACGTACCCTAAGAGCACATATTAACAAGACCCAATCTTATACTTGTAAGATTATCTTGATATTTTATAGTGACTTTTGCTTACACTTATTGTAACCATGTTAAATAGGTTTATCATTATATATTAATTTTTTTAAGTTACTTAATCATTTGCCCCATACCTTTTCCCCTTTCTCTATTGCTTTTTTCACTTAAGTCAGCTCATTGTTGACTAATTTCACCAATTTGGTGTTGTGCTAGCACATGATTGAGTTTGCTTTGTGGTGCCTTAGTCTTGCCATGATGCTCCTTACACTCACCTCCTTTGTTGATATATCCACCTATATATATATAAGAAGCGCTTCACCCTTCATGGCTTGTATTTTTTTATCTTCTGATTTTGTCTTTTTGCTTGGTTTTATTTATTAGTGGCTTACTTTAGTTTTCTCATTTGTTCCTTTTTTCTTAACTACTCATTTCGTCCTTCTTTTTTGCTTTTTTGTCTTATTAGAAATCCTTCAATGAATTTGCTTTGTTTTTTTGAAATTTATTTTGAAATTGTATATTTTAGTTTTGTTTTGCGATAAGTGGTAGTGGTAGCAACCATGGTTGCTATATAACCAAGGGACAATTACAAAAGAAACTCCAGGGTTTGACCTTTATAACATTATAAATCCTGAGTTTTTAATTTTGTCATTTAAATCCTAAATTTTTAATTTATTTTCAATTTAAACCATTTGCCTATTTTTGTTAACTAAAACCGACGAAAAAATAGTATTTTAGCCATTAAACCTAATGTGGGTGTACATAAAATGTTTAAAATACCCATTTGTCGATTTTACTTAACAAAAATAGACAAATAGTTCAACCCACAAAGCTTTATCTTCGGCCCTATACGTCTACCACCATTTCAGTAAAAGACTCTCATTTACCTCCCTTATCCTCCTAATGCCTAGCCCTCCTTGATCTTTGTTCTTTGTCACTTCCACCCATTTGACCTTATGTACCTTTCACTTCAGCTCTGAGCCACGCCACAAGAATGCAAAATTTAGAGTTTGGTGTCTTGCATCATAGATATGTAATATAAGATCAATTCCTTATTTTATCCTAAGGTTATGTTTGGTTCATGGATTTGGAAAAGGAAAATATAGGTGAAATGTGAATGAAATATAACTAAATTTCACACATTTTTTTCCCCCTTTCCTTACCCAAATACATGAACCAAACACAACCTAAAAAGAAATCTAAGATTAGTCACAGCTTCATAGGGGTAGGCTATTGGTTAATTATGCCTTGCAAATTTTTTTTTCTTGTTATATATTTTTATATATAAGAGGAGTTAAAAATTTGTATTTCCAGAATCAAATATTTTGGGAGTGAATGTGGGTCATAAAAAATCTTCCTTCGATTTTGACATATTGGACAATCTTGTTAAACTTAATTTATTTCATCCAAGTCTCAAATCTAATCTCCTATACTCTCAGTTTCACTTTGTGAGTTAGATTTTCTTGACTTCATTAGGTTCTAATATTTTATAGCTAAACTTCACCAGCATTATAATCTATTTAGAAAATTTTAAATTTGTGCAAACAAAGATGTAGCATGAAAAATATTTTAATGGTATAATTGATTAACTTGAAGTTTCATGATTATTATTACTATTATTGTTTTTATAACCTAATTTTTACATGACTCGTGATTCTTTGTTGACAGGTTCTATCTTTTTGTTGCACTTGGCTAAAAGCACTAAAAGATTAGTGAATTCAACAAGATCAATTCATGACGTATATTTTTCATTTGTAATTTATGTCTTAATTAGTTTGTCAATATATATATTTTTTAATACATTGGAGGCCATAGCATTGGAGAAGGGAAATTTTGCCTATAGAAAGATTTCAACCCTTGTAGGAGAGTAACACCCTTTGCCATTGAATTGAACCCTCAAGTTTAAATTTACACTGTTACATGTTGCTTTTTCTGTCTCAATTAACTGGGTGGAAAGGGGAGCACTACTTCCAGTTAGAAGACAAATTGGAAGTAAATGTTCTTTTCTTCTTCTTTCTTCTTTTTCTTACTGATATTAAGTTTATAATCATTTTACTTTTATCCTTTATTTTTCAGGTACATGCTTTGTTGTTACCGTTGTTGATGTGACGGCAAGTGCCCGTCACATATATTATGGAGAAGAGTTGGCTGCGCTGGCAGCACAAAAGATCCTGGACTGTATACCATGGAATACGAAAAAAGGATGATCGAAGATTAGGGCATACGATTACAGTTATAGGCATGGGATCGTATTGGAGAAGTATTATCCATACACAGGAGTGAAAGGCAAACACAAAAAATCAAGAAAGGTATGTTTTACTTTTAATTAGAGTCAATTTGTGTGGCAAGTATGGTCAAACATCTGAATCATGTTCTACTTTTTTGTCCCTTTTTGTGGCAAGTATGGTAAAAATCATAGGCTAGTGGGGATTACAATGGTTATCCCATGTTCAGTTGATAGCTTAATGTAGTGGTGGATGGGCTGGAAATTCAGAAGAAAAAAAAAAAAGAAAGGAAAATTTGGAGAGCAATTCCTGGAGCAATTATTTGGTCTGTGTGGAAGCTTAGGAATGTTTATATCTTTAGTGATACTCAACCAAACTTGGAGGCATTGTGTGAGTTTATCAAAGTAGGATTAGCCATCTGGTTGAAATCACATAATGTTAGGTGTTATTACTCTATAAATGAGATTGTTTCAAATATACATCATGTAAGAAGGTGCTGGAACCAAGGTGGTTAAGTCAGGACTGCTCAAATGAAGATGGAAACTGTGGGTTTGGCAGCTGTGGTGATTGTTGTCTACTTTGTGAATTTAAATACATAGATTCATGATAACATAAATTAAAGCAAGAACACATGTTGGACATTACGACTAGATTAAACAGAAATACATGATACAACGAAATGGTAGAGAAATAAAACCGAAGCCTGCATGGAAGCAGTTTCCTTAAAACAGATTTTCGCCGCCTCACGGATCGAGTGCTTGAGGAATTCCGGCGTATGTCTCCCAGGATACGACGGTCAAAACCTAGCTACGGCAGAAGCATTTTCTGTCTAGCTTAGCGAACAAAACTTGTGGCAGCACTCTCTCACTGTAGAAATTTCTAGCAAACTGACTAAAGAATTGAAGAAACAATTTCTGTGTTTGAGACTTGACGGGAGGGTCTCAATTTATACATGTATAGGGGAGAGATGAGAAGCCTCCAGCCTTTATGGCTGGTCACTATTGCACCATTAACCTCTACAATAAAGGCAGGAGTTACAAACCCCATTAATGCACTATTAAACTCTGCAATAAAGGCAGAAGTTACAAATCCCATTAACTCTTTCATGAAGCTAACTTCATGGGGCAATTTCTCATTCAATTCTCAATGGTTTTTGGCCATTCTATTTGTGGTATAAAGATCTCATTGCAAAGTATCTAGACCCACTTGGACCCAACACAATAGATGATTGGGACCCACTTTAATATTTAATTAAAGTCACCAAAAAACCATTTTTTCCAACAGTGATTACAAATGATTCTTGTGAATTGGATTGTTGGTATCTTGTAAATTGGATTGTTGGTTAAGGAGCTTGGGTTATTGATATGATTTGTTTGGGAGGAGGCTGCATCTGGTGGAAGCTGAGAAAGGAGGAATGCTTGACTACTGTGGGATGTTAATTGCAGGGGATATAGGTTGGTATTTTCCTAGCAGCCATGTGGATTACTTGGGGTTTTTTTTGGCTAGTTTATCCTTTGTTTCCCTTTTGGCTTTCTTTTTGTTTTGCGTATTGTACTTGTCTTGTTAGTTGGTGACAAAAATTTTGGGCTGTGCTAGCAAATGATTGGGCATGCTATTTCGGTGTCAACCTAGTTGGGATTGTTTAGTTTTGTTGTGATGCTCTTTTGCACTTACCCTCCTTTTATTGATAATAATCATTTGTATTGTTACTTGATTATTATTATTAAAGTTTGTTTTTGCAGATAATATATATATATATATATATATATTGTATTTATGATGTTTATAATTTTTGTAGTTTCATAGTCCGAGAGTTTCTATCGATGGATATTGTGAGATGGCAGCCGAAAATGAGTATGAGATGTCAAAAATTCTCCAGTATCACCCAATCACTGTTTGTATAGCCTGCCATAGGTCTTTCAATCTTTATAAAGGGGTATAAACTACTAAATACGAAAATGTTTTATTTGAATAATTTTGAAATAAGTTGTAATTAAATGTTATTGTAATTTATTTTTATATGTAGGGTTTGTACAAGTGACCTCGTTTTTTATTCGAGCTTGATATGCTGAAGTTGAGTGATGAATTTTGATCTTGACAACCATCCACTTTTGGAATTTCATGAGATTTGTCTTGTAGGTATGGGGACTTACAATGGAGAACCCGCCTGGCTGATAAAAAATTCTTGGGGGAAGAAGTGGGGTGTAGGTGGCTATACATACATCCCACACAACGGAAGCTACGCCGAAGCCTTAGGGATAAATTGTTGGCCATCTTATCCGATTATCGATGATCACAAAAGATATGAGAAGCCTCGCCTCTATAAGTATCAAAAGTATTAAAGCCAATGTAATCATATTTAGGGAATCTCTCTCTCTCTCTCTCTCTCTCTCTCTCTCTCTTATTTTTCTTTTTGTAAAAGCCAAACACTACACAAGGAGGATTGGGAAACGTATAAATCTTGAAATGGGTCATTATTTTGCAAACAAAGCAAAGGAACTAGTATTTGTTGGTTATGTTTGCAATCGAGGAAGAAGGTGAACAAGCAAGCGGAAAACTGAAATGCTGGGTAGGTTACAGACTTGGAGATACCTAGAGAATTTCCCTAAGCACCTAGGGTTGAGAGTTAAAATTGTGTACATTAGCTCTAACCATGACTCAACTTAGAAAGGAAGTATACAGAGATATGTGATTGGTCCATGCGTCACAAATGACACTGGATAATGGCGTGGTGCTGATGTGGCTTGTCGTCTTGTGTGTGTTTACACAACAAGCACTGCTTTCCTTGTACAATCATCTTACTCTAATCTTGTCCCAAATATTTTCTTAACTATCTCCTAATGTTATGACTATATTCCAGACAAAAAATTGTTTGTTGCTGAGTTAGGTTTGTACTTGTGTTATAATTGTCTTAATAATTCCATGTATTCAGTTTATGGTGGTTTCCAGGATGGTCAGGATTGCCCATTTTTTTAATGAACATACATATTGGTTTACATTACCCACTTGCATCACATTCCTTCACATCCAATCTTGACCTTTTTGATGGGTTAGTGAGACCAACAAATCCACCCAACTAATAGGTTATGGTCTAACACTATGTTCAAGTAATAACGGATCTTGGTCCCTCGTCCAATAACATCATTGCTAAATCATGGACGTTATAGATATATATCTTGTTTGCTAGTCACCTGAATATTTTCATGTTTAACCTTTCCTATGCTAAAAATAAATTTAAAATTTGTTTGAATTATTTTCTGATTTTATTTAGGGCTACATATAGTGGTGGAATCAATGGTTATATAGCTCGTTGTGCTAGAGATCCTTGCCCCCCAATTTTTCGGTCACCAGTTTCTGGAATGGAAGATATTATGGACAATCAAGTCAAGTAAGCTTGCATGCAATCAAAATAATTTTGTACTAGATTAATTGAATTCACTTTTTTATCTTAAGCTGTTACATTGTGTTTACTTTTTCCCTATTCACCATCCAGATGCGCTATATACAGACTTCTAGATGCTCACAAACATATCACTTGACCATCTGCTGGGGTTATATTCCCGAAGAAGGATTAATCTTGTCATGTTCTCTGCTTGTCATTAACATTCCTCTTGTTAGTAGTTTATTTATTATTTTTTATTTCTGCATTCTGTTTCAATATATAAGGCATCTACTTGTACAAATGTGCACCTTTGCTTTTGTGATAAACCCTTATGCCTGTCTGCTTATTTCATGGTCAAGCAAGGTAATGGAAATCAAAAAGATAATAACAAATAATAAAGGAGATGCATTCAACCAAGGTTTAGAGGAAGCCCAAAGACTCACAATGTTTCAATATTAGAGCCCATATGAGAATGGTTTTTTGCACATATTTCGATTTGTTTGATGTGAATAGAGTTCTCTGGCTTTAGATTTATTAGATATGGTTCATTATGTTATTATTAAAATCTTGGTTTGCTTGAGGTTCTATAAAGCAATTCCTTGCTTTAAGTCAATAAATCTTGGTTACTTGATCAAGCATGGTAGAGCACTGTAGTTGGACACATTTTTATTTTACACATGCTGGAGACTTAGATAGTAATTAGCTTTCCATGTATTTTACATCATGGTGTTGTGTGTTGATGGATTTGAAATAAAGGGATTTGGGTTTCATTTCATACTTAAAGTAGTCGAGAGAATTGGTATTAAAGTGCTTCCATTCGAAGCATTAAGGTAAAGGTATAAGATTCATCCTACTAGAATAGTTGTGCCACTAGAATTTTGAAGGTTTAGGTCAAAATTCATGTTTTCTTTTTCTTCTTAAAAATCATTCATAAAGTTCTTATAAATCCATTCGTGGAAAATTTAATCCAAGCTATATTGCTTGAAGTTCTTTTTGTTGGATGGTGGAAAAATAAAAGGAATGAAATAAGGTAGGAGTAGAAAGATATCAAAGTTCACCTTTTTTCTTCCAAAATTACTGAGATAAGGTTCTCAAATTCATTCATGGAGTTTGTCCTCGTCAAATGATTTTTAGTTATGTTTAGTCTTGCTAGGGTTCATTATAGGAAATTACACTTTTAGCTACCAAATTTTTAGTCGCCGAAGGTTCTTTTTTAGTCGTCGAAAGTCATTGGCGACTAAAGTTTTTTGTTGCCCATTTAGTCACCGAAGCCTTGTCGGCGATAGTCAATGGCAACTAAATTCACGTTGGTCGCTAATTATATTATCTTCAGCTACTAAAACAAACTTAGTAACCTTTGGCGACGAAAGATTTAGTTGCCGAACGTGATCAAATAAAAATGGAATTCTTTTTCAACGACTAAATATTTTAGTCGCCAATAATAACACATTTAGCGACTACAAAATTTAGTCGCCATTTTATGCCACCATTAGCCACCAAATAGTTTAGTCGCCAAA